AGCCCAGCAGCTACCGAAGGCCTGTGAGGCTGGGGCTGGAGGGGTGCTGCAGGAATCAGCAGCCTTTTTGAGCCTGCCCTGCTCTATTAAGTCTGTATTGCTCAGAGCAGTGCAGGTGCTGCAGCAGGTATTGCAGCTTATGCTGTGAGTAGAATCATAGAATGCTTAGGGTTGGAAGGGACCTCTAGAGATCATCTAGTCCAACCCCCCTGCACACGCAGGGTCACCTAGAGCATGTGGCACAGGACTGCGTCCAAGCGGGTTTCGAAGATCTCAAAGTGATCAGACTAAATAGCTCCAACCTTTTCTGCAGTGGAGAGAGGAAAACAGCACCATGGTTTGGAACTGTATCATAGCACATGTGCTGATGTTTAACAGCGCAACGTCTTGGAGAGAATGGTTTATTTTCTTCCCTTTTTTTTTCCCCTCTTGCCCCTTTTTCCTCTCTTTTCCCTCCCCCCTATATTTCATAGCCACTGTCCAAGCCAGGGATACTTTTATACTCAGGTTAATTCTTTTGGGAGATATGAACAAGTGAGATAAATGATTCTTCTATCTCTTCTGGGCCACTGCTACTCGACTACAAAACACTCATGTTCTGTAACTTGGCCTCTCACTTGGCCCTCCTAAGCAAACCTTTGTAAAGGCTTGAACCTACAGACATAAGCAATAAAATAAATTAATGATCACTGAATGTTATGCCAAAATTGCTCATTTGGTGTTAAATACACCCATTTCCACACTTTCGGCTACAGCAATCATGCATAAATATTTAAAGGCTTGTGTTGTCCTTGCAGAAGACTAAGCCTTTGTCATCCTTTCTGAAGCAACTATGCAGTTCCCGAATGCAATCTCCTGTACAAGGCATGTGGGCAAAAGTTGGTTAGACTAGCTTATTTCAGAGGCACAAACAGAGGCACTGTATTGCCAAGGTGGAACTCTTCTGGCTACGCAATCTAATATTTTTCACTATTCTGTCTTTAAACTTTGGTGGAACCAAGCAATTATCTGGGCCATAATACTGAGTCTAGAATGTACTGTTAGCTCTCCTTAATTCTTTTGTCATGGAGGGCACGCAGTGAACACAAGGGCCTGTCATTTCTTCTCTGTCATGTCCTTAGTAGAATGAAACCACAGTATCTGCTATTTTATGACAGCAGATACTTGCTACTAGCCAAAATAAGAAAGTTTTGGTTGGATCAGTAAATAAAAGTTCCTGTCAACAATATTCTTGGAGGCCTCATCAGAAGGGGCTCCTTAGGCCTTGCACTGCTGCTGTCTGGACCTGCAAGTCATTTGTCAGATGACTTTTACAGTGCAGTAACTGTACTCACTATGTACTGAAGTACCATATGGGAACAGGGAGCTAGTGGGAAGTACCAGTTCCTGACTGTAGCAGGAAGCATCTAACCAAGCCTTCCAGTACAGTTTTGGCTACGAAGAAGTGAACTTGTTATGACAGACTAAGCTCTTGTTAACATAAACTAGTACAATCTGTGTAAACTTAAAACTTACTTCAATTGCTGTAGACCTTACAGATAAACACTAGTTTAAATCTGTTCATCTAAAACCATTTTATAGCTTTGATAATATTCATGTAGTCATTTGCATCACTGCCTCTAGATCAATGTGTAAGGTTGAGGCAAGCCCTAATCGTTAATATTTAGCTCAGCATCTTTATTTAATCTAACTTTGAATAGGTGCTGCTGGAACAGTCCTTGAACAACAGTCTGAGTGGAAACACTAAGCTGACTAAAAGGCACGTGCAAGGACAAGACATCCACTTTAAATATTTGTGTATTCATAGCAAAATCCAGCATATATAAAAGAAAAGATATACAAATATTACAAGGCAGTAGCTCTTAAATTCTGTAAAAGCAGATGTTGTTCACATCTCCAGAGAAGTGATTAAGTATAATCAGATGCTGTGCTAAGTTATAGTGCCAATGTTAATTTCTGTGTCTATGCTTTAAATTATAATGACATTAGACAAGCAACATAATGTCTGAAAGTATCTTAAAAAGCCTAAGTAATAGCTATTTGTAAGCAATACAAGCACCAAATGCTGTGTAATGGAAGGTGGTTGGATGGCATGAATGTGTGATAAATCACATGCAGATAAAGTCTTCCACATCATGTGAATTAATAGGCTCTTACCTTAGAATCAGTATTACAATATGCAAAAGAAATACTGTGAAATTCCAACAACATGCTGTGATGCTTCCATTCATATTCATTAGTGTTTTTAATCAATTTTACAAATCAGTGGTATATTTGGTTTGCAACATTTTCATCTCTGAATGTGACTGTAAAGAAGTGTAAGAAAGTTCCCATGCAGAAAAAAATCAGAGTAGTTTATTAGGTACTCCATGTTGATAGACCTTATGAGAAGTGACGATGCAACATTGTTAAGTCTGCATCAGTACATAACCTTGTTGTAAGAAAGATGAATCACTGCTGAACAGCTGATTATAGCTAGATTATTGTAATATTTGTCTCTTTTGATTAAACAGATTTATGCCAAGATATCCAAGCCTTCACAGTTTGCAGAAACCTCACATAAATTTTACTTGGGCCAAAGAAAATGGAAGTTTGTACAACACAAGCTAGCTGCAAAGTTGAAGGCATGGTACCTGCTTAGTCATTGCGAAGGTTCCTGTGTCCCTCTGAAACAGAGATAGAGAGTCCTGGGCAGTTATACTAAGCACATGGTCATTATCAGAGGTAGGTAGATTAATTTTAAATAATTAAACAAAGTACATTATAGCCAATTACATTGCATTCAGATCAAACAAAAAGTTTATGCTATACTGCATAAAAAGTGCTGGCTACAGCCATTCCTGTCTAAGGCAACCAGGAGCACATGGCACCCAAGATGGTGCTATGAGAAAGACAGCCAAGTTCCTAGCACTCCGCCTTCAAGTAAATCCACACCTGACATTTCATGGATGTTGTTGGCTAACACACTATTAAGCTGAACAAGAATTGTGTAACTTTCTTTTTAACTAATTTCTTTGACTTGGTGTTTTCAAGTCCAGCAAGTACAGGAGCACTCGGGTATGTCACGGGCTGAACACTTATCTTTTCCCCAGTCAGCTCTAATAAAAAAAATGCAAAGGAAAGGTTTGTTTTGTTCTTGGTCTGATGGCACTGAATCCCTATGTGGCAAAGCCCAAAGGACTTGGGGAAGAGTCACATACTGTGCTTCGCCTTTTGCTGCCCGTGATGTTGTGTAAGACTGGTTACAGTCACTGTGTGCGAGTTGGGCATGCGTGAAAGCGTGAAAAGCATGAGCATCCCTACCCACTTCTAGCTGCACAAATGAGTATGTACAACTGTTATTGAGAGGGATATCTTCAAAAACAACCAACCTAGTTGTACTCCTATTTAAGTCAACAGGAGTTTCATTCAGAAACAGCATAAGGCCTTTGCTATATTATCACAGTTGTGCTCCTCATGGCTGAAAGCCTGAGTGTGCTGTAGCCCTTGAAACTCACTTGATCTTCTTAATCTGACCTTTAGATGTATCTGCCAAGCTAATACAGGGAGCCTGTTACTTCCCAGTATCTTCAGAGTGTCTGGTCTTTATTTGAACAGATTTTTTTTTTCACTTTGGTAGTTTAATACAGAATTTGAAGGCACTCACTGAATAGGAACAGCTATGCCAAACAGGAGCACTCTACCTGAGCTTGCTCTTCAGTGACGCAACCTCCCGGCCCAGGGCTTCATTACTCTCAGTTGCTTCATCCAGCTCTCTCTGTAGCTTCCTGCGGTTAGCGTTGATACGCTGGGACTCTTCCTCAGCCTCCTCCAGTTGCCTTTTCAGTTGCTTGAGTCGTGTGTTGCCCTTCTCGGCCTAAAGGAAAATTGGAGAGAAATACTTTAAGTTGGAAGAGATTTGAAAGCTTTGCTTTCCTTGCTTTTGTATTTCTTTTGAGAGAACTTTATTAAACATGCCTAAATCAAAGGTAGAATCTTAAAATGTAAAAAAATTAAAAATAGTTTTAGCTTGTGGAAGTTTATTTTGCTGTTAGGTGTTGTATTCAGACACTATTTGATTGTTTCTTTCATTGTATTTCTACTTTTCTGCTTTGCAGGTTTGTGTGCATTATGTGCTAAACTTCTTAGTGCTGGACAGAATGTCATCATTTCCATTCAGGTACCAATAGGGATGTAGGCGCAGTCCTGTTTCATCCCTGTGTACAGTCAGACTCCTTCAGATGGCTGATTGACAAAGACTAGAGCTTTGGACTTGCTTCAGGATGGAAGGGGAGTCATACTGTTGAGGCAGAGTTTAGCAGAGGGCTGTAGAGCTTTCCCAGCATGAAAGCCAAGCAGACAGCCTGCTTTCTAGAATGAAGAGCCTCCTTTCTCTCTGACTTTTTGTCATATGTTTCTGTGAGAGAGCAGAGAATCTTCCTTTCTTGGGGGTAAAACCCAGAGGTCCCTTTGTCTCAGACTAAAACCCTCATGACACAGCCTGATACCTGTTCTTTGTACTGCTCCGCCTGCTTTCTTTCATCCTCCACCTGCAGCAATGCGTCCTTCAGCTTCTTGTCCTTCTGGCGTAACGTCTTGGCTGCAACCTGCTTGTCCCTGCAAATGACAGTGCGACACTCGGTGAGCTGGAAAGTGTGTGGTCTTTACCTGTCCGGGGTATGTTGCTTGTGAAACTGGCACCAAGGACAAAGATATTAAAGGCATTATTGAAGTTAACAGATCCCTGTCCGGGGTATGTTGCTTGTGTGTATGTTGCTTGAAACTGGCACCAAGGACAAAGACATTAAAGGCATTATTGAAGTTAACAGATGACTTCTGAGCAAAACTTACGTGAAAGATTCTCCTCTCAAATGAAATATGCATTTGTTCTTGCTGGATGCTAGAGGAACTCAAGGTAAGGAGATCTGATCTAAAACAAAGGGTGATTTCCTCACGAAAAAATCCTGCATGGTGGTTAATGGAGATAAACCTGGTGGGGTTACCCTAAATGTGTAGGGGAGATGATCTTTTGATGCCTGTAGAACTTTCCACTAATAAACTATCCCTTAGAACCAATTGGCCATGGTTCTAAGAAATATTAAGTGTGGGAAAGACTTTACTAAACACCAGTGGCACTTAAGAGTCTGATGACATAAATCTGTACGCCTTGGTTTACTTGTGTCTTTGAGTAACAGATGTCTGTGCCCTCTGGGAATCCAGTACCTGGCTTCCTGTTCCAATTGTTCTTCAAGAGAAGCAATTTTGGCCTCCAGAGCAGCAATTGTGGCTTTGAATTTGGACTTCACAGCTCCCTCCATCTCCTGCAGTTTGCTCTTCAGCTCTTTGTTCTGCCTCTCCAGTTGCTGCCGAGCACTTTCATTCTTCTGTGCAGTGGCGCGCTCTGTTGCTAGCTCATTGTTCAGCTGCTCAGCCTGCAGGGGTGAGAATGGATACGGTCTGAAGTGCTGCCAGCGTTTGAGGAAGTGACAAGCAATGTTCTTTGTGGCAACCCTGCAAATCTTTGTTCAAAACCACAAATAGCTTTTGCTAGATTACAAACAGAAAGGGACACATGCATGCTGAAAGGAACGCTACCTGCTGTACTGCTTTCCTCATGCGATCGCCCATGGCTTCCATGTTGCCCTGTTCCTCTTCTAGCTCTTCCTCCAGTTGTGCAATTCTTGCCTCCAGGCGCCGTTTCTCATCCTGAAGGCTTGTCCTGTAAGTTTAAATTCGGGAAATGTGTAGTTAGGCCCTGACCAGTTGAATGTGTCTGAAACTTTTAGGACTTAATTCATGAGGAAAACAGAACTAAATATTTCAGTGAAA